GAAGCCCGAGTCAAGTGACCTTTCAACAAACGCTCTGCGTGCAGCGCGTGTCTTGCGATGAAGTTGCGGTGAAAATCTTCGCCACCATGGGGGTGCTGCAGTAGAGATGGCAAAATTACTTTAAAAATGTAATTAAATACACTACTAATTACTTCTTGAAAACTGCGAAGATCTCATTAAATTACATTACAAATTACCACATGCTAAAAGTAATGACATTACATTCCAATTACTTTGACATTCCTTTTTAATCCCTTGAAGCAGTTATTCCTGCTCATTTTGTTTACAGTATATATACAGAACTCGGATCTTGTTTACACAGCAACAGCCTGATGCGCTTGAAAGTGAACGATCCTGGACAGTCGTTCCGCTGGAGCACACGACAGAAGTGTTAACTACGAGGAATCGCTTCTTTAGATGTGACTCGAAGAGTCGACTCACCGGTTTCGCTGTCCAGTCAACGGTGAAGGTCCCTAGTTAAAGGGTAATATGATGTCGTCGTACTAATTTTGAACAAGTTATACTACTTGTCAGTAACTCGAGTCGCACCATGGAAGCTCGTTCTCACAAGAAGTCGTCGCGTGAAACGTTTCCCTTCCGACTCGGACGCAGGCTATTTCTTTTCTCCCAAGAGCACTCGTTGACGCATACCCCCTCATTCCTCTCGAGGAGCATTTTTCCAAAACACTCGAAGAGCCCAAGTAATTGTGCGTTGTCACTCAAGCAAGCTGGATATTTATTTGCTGGGCAGAAGCGTCGCCAGTTGACGAAAGAGACGACGCTAGCTTTCTAAAATGCGTAATTTCCCAACAAACGGGTGGCGACATCTGCTCGATTGCTTATTCCCCAATAAATCTCGCAAGGAAAGGCAGAGAGGCATACCGCGAGCGGCACCTGCTTTGTTCGCTTCCCGTCTTTTCCGACTACAAAAAGCGTCTTGACTTACCAGGGTCAAGGATACGCACGGAACGTTCTGGGGTCTTGGCAAGGAATTTGAGATGAACTATTCGGGTCGTTTGTTGTTCACTATGGTCGAAGCTTACGGTTTGACGTTACTTGATGAAAGAGCAAAGCTGGGGATCTGCATGTCCTGTTCTCTCGGGTTTTAAAATGTGTTGGAACTCACTGGTGGTGATGCGCCCTTCGCATTGCAGCCTCTAAGGCGTTCGTCCCCAAAGTGACTTTGCGGTGGAAGCTAGGTGCTCGTTGGATCAGTCTATCTTTCGCCACGTAGCTTGCTCTCTCGCTCACACCCGCACCTCAGAGAAGGGGCCAGGTGATGAAAGGAAGGTTGTTGGTTGGTTCCGGTGAGCTCCCACCGCACTCTCAGCTTCGGAAAGAATGAAGCATAGTAGCGTCATGATGACGTGATGCCGTGAATCTTTCTTGCCTGGAGTTTGTCAGCTGTTGCCTTCCAGCGATGTGCTTACACGAAAGCTTTTCTCCATCCTCTGGGGGTCTTTATTTGACCCTCAATAAATTCATTTTTTCTCTCTCTCTCTCTCGCTCTCTCTTTCTCCATCCCCTTGGCCTTTCAAGCCTGCCTTTGTGAGTCTGTCGTGTTCCTCGTGCGAGGCTTTGCGCTCAGATGGCCGTCGTTTATTTGCTCCGATGTCTCTGTCACTATGCAAAATCACTTTCACTTTTTGTCTTAAAGCTCGCAGATTAACTGTCTCATTTGGGACAAAAGTAACTGCAAAAGTAATGAGTAATTTTCTCAAAATTACTGCCTGAAATCAATTCATTACATTACTAAATTACTAACCCAGAAAAGTAATTCATTAAATTACTCATTACTATAAAAAGTGACGGCCATCTCTGTGCTGCAGTCTGCAGGCTAGTCTTTTTCATCGAAACTCTCTGCAGCCCCTTCGCTCCCGCCCGTCACACTTCCCCCTCCCAGACACCATAGCTTTTCTATGGGGCGCCCACTCGCGCTATAAATGACCCACGTTCGTCGTATGTTGTGAGTGCGTGCATTGTCTGGCGCGCGGACGGGGATAGCTTATGGGCATTCCTGGCGGGCACGCGCTTCGAACGTTCACTCCTGACTTGAACGCGGGCTCTGCGACTCAATTCTGTGGCTCTGCCTTCGGCCATTGTGCGAGATGTATCGTTGCGCCCCGGACCCTTCTGCGTCCTCATGCAGTTACACCGTGGGCCTCGGGAACGGACTCGCGGCGCGAGAGATACAGGTCGGCGGCCTTTTCTTCGACCTCGCACTGTAAGCTGATCGTGTGACTTTTCATAGCAATCTCCGCGCACTGGCGCACGATTGAAATTCAATTTCAAGTTCACAAACACGTGTAAAAAAAAAAAAAACTTTTTTCTGTTTTTTTGTCTTGATTTTGTGATGACGTGCCTGTATTCCGTTTCCTGCTTTGTCCTTGGGGAATTTCAACAATACCCGATAACTATTTACGTTGTAAGTGTAGGGCCGCCGGCGGAGTATCAAATATCATTATCGGAATGCAGGCGTGGTCCCGCTTGCCTGCGCTTCGCTGCGCCCAAAGATAAAATTCGCGCCAAACTGCGCCCAAGGGGAAATATCGCGCCAAGCTGCGCTAGAGTAAATGAATCTGCGAACGAATATGTTTTTGGAAGAGTTTTCGTCTGGCAGCTGTGGGAATCCAGTGGTTTTGAATTGCACGGGGCTTCGCCCTGCCCTCTCTGCAGGGGTAACGAATTTGGCCGGGGCCCTGGGTTTTGCTGATGACGATGGAAGGACAAGGGAGAAAATTATTATGTTGACAAAGAGGCGATTAGAAGTTTGGTAGAAATTATCTGGGGAAAATTGAATGATGCACAACTGACTAGCACAGCTGGGGGCAAGCGGGACAGAGAAAAATTGGGACTCCCTCCCGCGTGGCTCCGGCCCAAAGTCTCAACCCTGTCTCCCAGTGGGTCCGGTGCTGGGGTAACGCCGTCAAGGCTTGACCAGAGGACCGATGGTGCTCCTGGTGATATCCCACACTGCCTGGTAATAGAGGGATAATTGGTCTTAAAAAGGGCGGGAGGAATCATATCTTTGTCTTTTCAAACTTAGGCTAGGTGGCGCAAGCTACCGCCCTTTACAAAGGGTATAGCCATTGTCATCCATTCACCCATCCATCCTCGGGTTTGAGAGCAAGAAAAAGCTGCAGTGAACACATATGGCTGAAAAGCGGGGTAGGAGGTCTGAACACTCCTCTGATGTTTCTGCATCTAAAAGCAGGAAATGAATCGAGGAGCGAAAATACACAACACTTAGTATGTATCTCGATAGACGTCACAGAAAAAGGACGAGGGGTTGAATCATACTTTTGGTTTTTAGGCTAGGTGGCGCAAGCTACCTCCCGTTATAAAGTGTACAGTCATTAACATCCATCCATTGACAAATCACAACGTTCTTGAAAAAAAAAAGAAAAAAAAAACGAAAGAAAAAGCAGCAAAAGATTATAGAGGCTTTCTTTATTGAAAAGAAGAATGACAAGTGCGTCAGCGCGCCATCTAGATAGGTGACTGTAAAGTGTTTTATTGGCTTTTGGCGTTGTTTGAAATCTAAACGGTAGATGAGTTGTCCATATAAGCGTCAGTTGAGAGTAGCGCCTTGTCCCTCTCGTTTGTGTTATCTTCTATTGTCCCTGTCTGCCTGCGCTTTTAAACCTTATACCTACCATGGACCAACTAGCCCAAACCAAAGTTTTAATGAGGAAAAAACAGGTTTATGGGTTAAATAAGTACAAAAAGAACGAGCAACGCAGGTATTGAATGCTTGAACTTGAGCCCAATACACGAATACAGTACAAAAAAAAATATATATATATATATATATATATATATATATATATATATATAGTCATAAAATACACGGAATCAAAATATCATATCGTCTGTGGCCTTGGTCAAACGTGCCGGCGTGGTAGGTACACTTCAAAGTTATTCAACGTGTTTTTTGTTTTGTTTATGTGAATTGTATGGTGGAGAACTATCACTGCGAATTTCAGAAAAATCGAAAGTGGTTTCCTTTTTTTTTTTTTTTCATTTTTCATTGCCCCCAATTATATATAATTCGAAAGAACGTTTTAATATGAATATATGAGGTGGAGTTTAATGTTGTACCTATTCAATTTCTTTAGATAACGGCTCAGAAATGTAGTGACAAAACATCAAAGGAGCCAAGTTTTCGCATTTTGACGCAAGATGCTTAACCTCCACAATGCCGTTAATATTTACATCAATAGTACTCACGATCTGTCGTAGGCAGAAAATATTTGAGATTTCTGATATTCGTTTTTTGGCGCAGTAGGTGTCACCAAACACGACAAAAACTTCAAAAATCGAATATGCCGTTCTGGCGCACTCAAACTTTTTGTTCTCTTTTTTCTTTTCACAAAATTTGTTTGATTACTTTTCCTACACATGTTGACGAGTAACATAAAAAAAAAGTCCGAACTCACGTGCATGACCTTATCTGGACGGAGCCCGCGACATAGTGCATAGTATAAAACATGATGTGGTATAGTGTATATTGAACATGATGTGATGGTAGTCGGTGACATGTTAAGAATTCCCTCCCACCTCTTTCCGCTTCAGCGGAGTGAACGCTGGAGTGGAGGAACCTGCCACTGATTATAGATACAATGTATATTTAACATGATGTGATGAGTGCATTTTGAACATGATGGTGGCAAACTTAGATGCACTGGGGAGGGCTATAGTAAAACAGGAAAAAAAAGTGATAAACGTCTGTCCCCTCTTCCTTTTTTTTCTTTTTCTTCTTTTGCACGGTTCCGTGCCATCTCCTGTCCGCGGTAGAGGTAACTAACGCCCTTTGGGCTGCCCTGTTCAAAGAACTCTGTGTCATCATCCCGATCGGCTGGCTCATTCTCTCCTCGGTGGGTTGTTGCCTCGGCGTGCTTTTTCCATGGACCGACGTCCTCTTGTCTGGAGAGCGCGGAACTGGCGGAGCCGCTCGTGGGCGAACGCCGCCTCGCGGATTGGTTGGGGTCGGATCACGTGGTACTTCTCTGGTTGTTCACCTTCAGCGGCGCGGCCGGCGCGGCTGCTGTAGCAGGTAGTAGATAGAGGCAACGTCGCCAGCATCGGTCGCTAGCGTTTCAACTCGCTAGCGCGGTACGTACTTACCTGTTGCGGCTGGCTTGCCCGTGTGTGTTTCTGTACGTGTCTGTCGTTCAACGGCTGAATTTTGAGTAGTGTACTGTGTCCGCGGGTGTTTCGGCGCTCATGATGGTCTTGACGTCCCGAGTGTGCCGGCCACCGGCGTGGGACAGCACGCTCGCGATACAGAAGGTCGGGCTCTCCGGCATGTCTCGCAGGTGAGTTGTGCGTGAAACGAGTCTCAGGCGCTTTGATTTCAAAACCACGTAAAAATCGTAACTCAAACGCGATCGAGCTTTTCACGGTCTAACAAAACTGACATTCGACAACCGCGCTTTGTGTGTGTGTGTGTGTGTGTGCGTGCGCGTGCGCGTGCGTGCGTGCGTGCGCGTGCGTGCGCGCGTGCGTTCGAGTAAGAACGACTAAATTTTGGAATTCCGCGCGCTATGTGTATCTGCTTACTGTACTTCCACGATGGGTAACGTCACTCTCCCCGATGAGTCGTTTAATTGTGGCCAGGATAACATATGTCAAAGTTGGTTCGTCTCTGTCGTATGATCTTTTTGGGGCTGCAGTCCCTAGTTTTCTTTGTTTACGGCGTATATGTGAAGCAGCAATAAGAGTTGCCATTGTTTTTTAGTGTAACGGGCCTAAAACCTCGTTCTTATGTATTATCATGAAGGAGTTTTAGTGGATCGCTTCGAAACTTATCTTAAATAACCATAATCACATCTTAAGGCGACTCTTGCCTAGGCTATACATAGATAATTCTTAAAAAAGTTTAACATCTCTACCATAAATAGCTACGGCTATAGCGCGCTTCAAATATGGCACAAGCGACAATCGTCAAAAAACTGTCGTCCTTCCTCGCCCCTTCGGGAATTTATTTCTTTAAAACTAAGGCCGCCAGAACATTGAAATAAACGGCATTGTCTTTCGTGAGGAACGCAGGACTGCATGTAAAAATTCGAGAAAAAAAAAAAATTACGAATGTACCTTACTACTTGAATTCAAACGAAACCGTCCGCCGGTCTTTCGAAGTTCGACGAACGTCGAACTTTTACCCTAAAAGTCGAAGTTCGCCGAACTTTTGACATGTCAGGATTCGAAAATTCGAAACTTTTCGATTTCTATTGATAAATAAGTTCGAAAATGATCGAATTCTTTAGCGTAGGAAATTCGAAAGTTCGAAAGGCTTCGATCTTTTTAGTGCAAGAAGTTCGGAAGTTCGAAAATTATCGAATTTTTGGTATATCAAGGTCGAAAGTTTGACAAGCATCGAATTTTGCAGCGTAATAAGTTCGAAAAGGATCGAATTTTTACGCGTCATAAGTTCGACGGTTCGAAAAGCATCGAACTTCTTAGCTTAACAAGTTCGAAAATTCGACTTCCGTCAAATTTTACAATGTAGAACGTTCGAAAAATCGAAATCTTGATAGTCGAAACTTCGGTTTGAAAAAAGTTCGCGGCATCCCTAATTGGAACGGTCTGCTAAACCTCCCTACTAATGTGAACTTATTGGAATTCTTAACGACCATTTATTGGCGTCTGGAAGAGTGATGGGGGTAGAGTGTACTAGAAAGGACGAGTGGGGGCCACCGAGTGCTATTTCTGCTCCTCCCTCCGCATGTGGAAAAAAACGCGTTGCGTTCCAACGCCCAGCTCGACCGGCACACTTTTCAAGATCATCGAAACATTAGAACCTGTCTAGAGGTTTTTTGCGCGACACAAGGGACAATCACAAGCGAGTAGACACGGGCAAGTCTACTCGCTTGTGATTGTCCCTTGTTTCGCGCAAAAAAACCTCTAGACTGCATCATGAACCAACTAGGCCAACAACAAGTTTTAATTAGAACCTGTGTCGTCGCTCGCTTCGATCGCAGCGAAGGTGTCGCTGCCATCAAAGCGGTTTGGTTCCACCTGATCGCTTTCCACATTTTGAGGTGCATCTGGAAGCAAGAGCGGAGCCTGTAGCTCGCAGTCGTTTCTCGTTCACTCTAGCTGGGGCCCTAATCTGGACATTTGACGATAACGTCGGCGAGAAATCCGGCGGCTATGATTGGTCGGCGTCAAGGTCAAGTGCGGCGTTGGCCAATCACGGCCTCCAAATTTCTCGCCAACTTTCTCGCCGCCCTGGTCTGACCTCCTGTTTATACTTCGTTTCAGCTTCGGTCCGAGCGCGGCCGATGTTATCAGCCGAAGGGCCAATCAAACACAGCAAAAAGCGCAGCGTCATGGTGTGCTCTCTGCCCTTGATAAGACTAGCCGGCGGAGGAGCGAGCACAGAGAGACGGCGAATACCCAGGCTGGTCCTATAAACTACAGAGAGCACGCCATGACGTTGTGCCTCTTTCGCTGTTTGATTGGCCCTTCGGCTTATAACATCGGCCGCGCTCGGACCGAAGCTGAAACGAAGTATAGTACCCTTGACGGAAAATGACACAGGGACAGTTTTACCTACTCATCTCACCACACCGAGAATATGTACGCAGTGTTATTTTTAAACATTCCGGGCTGTACCTTGACGCGAAGGGATTTTCTCTCTCGGGTCCCTCTGCGTTTGTTACCGGTGGTGGCAACAGATCACCTGTGGTGCGTAACTTCCCGGCCCCAGATCCGGCTGCTCATGAGTCATGATGGCGCGCGGGTCAGTGACTGTGGTGCTGTGGGGTTCCCGGTAATGGTTCAATGGTCTCCTGGAATGCCTCTTGCCACTCGGGTCGTCGCGGTTAGGAGAGGGGAACAAGATCATTGTTTGCGGCGGATCTTGTTAGTGGCGCTTTCGTTGACGGCTTTATGTCGGCGCTTTTATTACCATTGTATAGGTTAGTGATGTCAAGTAAAAACGCGACAAAGCCAATGGCTTTTTTTTTTTTTTTTTTCTCTCTTTGTTGACTGGAGCAAACACTGCGAGCTTGCCGGAGATGTTCAAGTACCAGAAGACTGATCAAGTTAAATGCCTACCACAGGATAGAGCACCTAAGGCGAGATCTGGACAGATATATAACTACGTTCATCACTCGGAATGTTTGTCACGAATAAATGATCCGCTTAGAAGGACCGAATTTAAACATAACTTTACACGAGTGTTTTTTTTTTTTCCCTGCAGAATGACATTTGGTATTGTTTTGTTTTTTAACTGAATTCGTTGATTTTTACGGTGTCGGGTTCAGTTGGACATACGGAAGACTTTTTGCAGTGTCACTCGCAGCACTCGTCCTGGTTATACGACCATTTTACTATTAGCGTGTTGGTGCGGCGCAGACTTTGGGCGGGAATTTCTCACGGCCTCCTGAAGCCGGTGTCTGCACCGGCATCGGTCCGTTCGCGCCGGTGGTCTCTCCGATTCCGGCGGGGGTATTTCCGTAATGGAAGAACCTTGGCCGCCGTGTGGGGCTGCCCGACTCTCTGCCAGGTACAGCCTCGAAGCGTGGGTCGACCTTGCGTAAAAGATGAGCGTTGAAATTATTAAACGGAACTTCGCCCACGGTTGCTCTGGTTCGTTTGCCGTGAGCTGCCTCCTCCAATCCACTTTACGTACCTTCTTTCCCCTTTTCGGTCGCCGCGTGTGGTCGGTAAACTCGTTGCGCTGACATTTGTATCGCACGGAGTTGTCGACGGGGTTCCGTTTTTACATGGCGCGTGGGCCGAACATTTTTATTTGTTTCTGCGGCATCTTGGCATGCGAGAGCGGTTTACGCCGCTAACTTGTGTGCTTTGCATATGCAAAGCACTTATTCATCCTTGGTTTTTGTCAGATGTGCCAGGGAGGAACGTTTCTGGAGGAGGCGCGATTGTTTGTCGGAATCGTGAAATTTGGCAGCACTTCACGGCGTGGAACCTCTTGTATTTATTGTGCACAGTGAACCATTGCCATCAACTACGGTCCTCAAGTGCCGAGAAGCAGAAGGACACATACACAGCGCTGTGTATGTGTCCTTCCGCTTGTCATCCCTCGTCGTTTGCGCTGGTTTAACCCTTTAAAAATGTCAAACCAACTAGCCCAAGCTTCAACCTTAGCTATGTAACCGTTTATTCCTTAAGTGTTTTTTAATCGTTTTTATTTTAGTGCTTTCATAATTTTTACAGCATGGTCGTTTGGAAGCGCGGAAAATTGGAATATGAATAATATTTTTCTAGAGATATTGGACAACATATTCTGTACTTTTATTCTATGGAGAAGGTTCTCTTTGTATGCTTCTTTTGTACAGATTTGATTAATTCGGTTAGGAGGTATACTCTGTACCTCCTTGAAATTCTGGATTGCCCATAATCTCCAAAAACATTTACGGGCCCTTAAAGATCTTCAATGTTAAATTCACTGGTTGTATTTTGATTGACCCCCAGCCCTTGTATTGTTTTTGTTGTCGACGGCAAAAGTGTTTATTCTGGGCAGCCCAATGCAGCTTCCCACGTTGCCATGTGTTAATATACTAATATTTCGGCAACCACACACAATATACATACTTAATATTGCATCATTTTGTATTTGTAAGTAAAATATGCTATGAATATTTCATCTTTGTGACTTGATTTTTTTTTATAAGATACTGGCCTTCAAAGTTTGCAGACGGTCGGTCACTCAAAGTTCCTTGTTTTATCTTTTTTTTTTTATATATATAAAAATACACAAAACAAAATTAACAATTATTATTCTTTGTAACATCTTACATGCAAACATGTTTGACTTCTTTTCATATTGATAGTTAAGTTATTCACTAACAAACATAACCATTCTGTCAGGGCATGTAAATGCAAGTGCTCACCTCCTCATGTTCTACTATTTTTCGTGTCTCAAGATTCTTTTTCTTGGTGAAAATATTTATGGGTTCCATTATATTATTGATTTGGCAATGACATAGCAAAATATTAAGTAAAATAAAAATATTGACCAGTTGACCTTTGGTCAATCTACCTAAAATTACCCACTCCACAGTGGTTTGGAGAAATGTTTCCCTATTGGCTTCTGTAACACATTTCAGCCACCGTTTGGCATGTGTCCACTCAAATTGGACTTCCCCTAGAAAAGATGAGCTCACTGTAGCACTACACACCAGCTGGTCATTGTTGTTGTAAAATGCAAAATATACATAGAGCAAAGGGGGAGAAAGTTTTTTTGCCAACTGAACTACATGGTGAACTTCGAATCAATCCGCAAAGGACAGATAGCACAAACAAGCGATCACTGTTTTTTTCTGTTAAAATAGAAAGGCCATCATTGAGTCTAGTGTGGTGGGAAGTGCTGATATTAACCTACCTAGTTTGAAAAACATGGTGTCTGCCACAGTGAAGTGCCAATGTCATGTTCACACTAACAGCCCTTTACAAGCTCTTCACAAAATCCTTTACAAGCACACTGCAATCCCCGTTTTGTTTTTATGAAGCTTTGTATTAAAGGTTCATTTGACTGTGCTGTATTCACCTGGTTGTCCTCTTTGTTGTCTTTCCAGATTGGCTGAGGCAAAGAAGGAAGAAGGGAATGAACTGTACAAACAAAAGAAATATGAAGATGCCATCAAACTGTATACAGAAGCTATCGGTCAGTGTGCTTTGTCTTCAATGATCACGCTTTACTTGAATATGTACCTAAAGTAAAAGTGCACTAAATTTGTACTTTTACTAGATTTGAATTGTGTTTGGAAGAGATTACCTACCTACTAGGGTATACTATGGGCAACATTCCATGTTTTCTATTAAAACCTAAAAATTATGAGAATTTTCACTGGTAAAATATCCATCAGTGCAGATATATCAGTGGTCTCAAACTCGTTTGAGTGCGGGGCCAGATAGCCCACACCGGAAAGGTCGAGGGCCAACGTAATAAGGGGGAGGGGGGGAGGTCAAAAGATTTAAAAGAAGGTCTTATGCTCCATGTTTTTTTTTTCTAAACTCAGTTTTTCCAGTGACATCTTTAGGTTTGATTTGTTTATATGACTACTTTGGGCCCTGACCTAATGTGATAACAAGAATTAAAATGACACCACCCTGCTAACATGCTGGCATTTTTAATAGAACTAGAGAGCAGGTACACTGTTATTCCTGTTGCTCAATTCACTCGGGAATTCACTAAGCTCAACATGACTAAAAGAAAAAACAATCAGTTAATTTGACAGTTCTTGCTTTCCTGACACTTTCTATTACAACACTCTGAACAAATACTTGTCTTTTAATAGCGATATTTTTTTTGAAGGCGAGGATCTTGAGCTCGTAGCTTTATCTTTGGCAGTTGTTCCTGCTGTTCGGGAGTTCACGCAGCTGAGGTCCGTTAGCAAATAGTAGCAAATGAACACATATAAGTATAGACTATGTGAATATGTTAAAAGAGCTGAGCTGCTTTAGGCAAAAATGAATCGGTGTGATGAGATCATTATGGCGCAAGCCATTCTAGCGCTCGAGACATGGGATCCAGGAATCTTAGCTGGTTGCCTGCGGGCCGCGTCCCAGCAAGTCGCGGACCACATGTTTGAGACCCCAAAAATGTATAAAAATAAAGCCCAGATTTTTTAGTTCCCCTTTTTTTTAGTTCCCCCCCTTTTTTTTTTCCCTCCCCTCCCCCACCCCTCAAAAAAATTAATAAATAAAACATGCAAAAACAATGTATTTTATATATTGAATAATTGACGTAGAGGTATTTATCTGGTGGACCCCCTTGAGGACAACAGGTCATTGTATTTCTGGCTCATGATGACAGTCAATCTGCATATGTGATTATACTAGCCATAGTTTCTGTTTTTAGGATAGACCAGCGGTCGCCAGAGTGATACGGGGTTAGAGCCGCGGGCAAAATACTGCAAGCAGCGCGCCACATCTTCCTTTTTCACAATGCGCTCTGGCGTTGACATCACGCTTCGTCACTGCGCAGGCGCGGCGAACCCCGCCTGCTTCATGGCGGCTTCTGTGAGGAAGCGTTTGCATTGCTGTGCTTTTCTTTGTGTTTTATTTCTGAGGCACATGCTTGATGACGTATTGGTGTGACCATCTTTCGGGTACAACGCCATCGCTTTTTCGCGTAATGGAACAAGTAAAGGCCCCTTCACACTCTTGCGACCTCTTAAGGCCCGTTCACACTCTTGCGACCGAGTAAGACCGAGAGAGACCAGACCTGTTTTTAAGCCTTTCGCAATCTCTTAGGACAAGCTCCGCTGCAGCGCATCTGGTCCTAAGAAGTTGCAAAAGGCTTAAAATCCGGTCTGGTCTCTCTCTGTCTTACTCGGTTGCAAGAGTGTGAATGGCGCTTTAGAACTGGGTTCCTTGAAACCTCTTACAACGAGAGGACACACTGGCGCTGTCTGTTGGGTAGCAGTGTAAACTTGGCGGTCTGGCATATTTTCTATTTCTCTCGCGTATTATCCTTTCTTTCTTAACTGAATAACTTTTGTCAACCTTATAAACAAGCCTTTCTTATAGGTATTACGCACATCTGACCTCTGAAATCCCACAAAAACCTTCACTCTTCTGAAATGCAGTTCCAGTATCACTGCATAGATGGCGCCAGAATGCCAGTGTGTTCCCTCGTCCTAAGAAATTTTAAGAGGTTTCAACAGGTCTCGTCTCTCTGAGTAGTACTCGGTTGCAAGAGTGTGAATCAGCCTTGAGACTTTTGCCTTGAAAAAAGGAGCGGGAGGGGCGTGGTATTTACTTTTCACAAGAAACTATATGGCAGGAACATTCCCTTTTAAAGGGGACAAGTATAATTGTCGATTACAACAAATAACACTTAGCAGCAGAATGTTTCTTCAACCGCTAAGCAAAAGTGAAGGCATGATTCGCTAGTCAGCCACTGCCCCTGGCGCCCGTTATGCGTATACGGTTCGATATTTTCGAGAACAATAAAGGGAACAAGGTCATTTGACATCTATGCGTCAAGAAGCAGTCCAGCTGTATTTGCGTAGTGTAGTACAAAACTGCCTAAATTGTAAGATTTTTTTTTTTTTTAATTCTAGAATTGTTTCTGTTTTGGGATACAGGAGGGGAAGGGGGCACGCTTACCAGGGAGCCGCGAGCCGCATTTGAAACCGCGAAGAGCCGCATGTGGCTCGCGAGCCACAGTTTGGCCACCCCTGGGGAAAACCATACCATTTGTGCTTTTTACAAGGAGGAGAGGTAGTGTTTTGATACTGAAGCAGGGATGGGCAAAATGCTAAAAAAGAGCAAAATGTATTGTTATACAAAAACAAAATACTTAAAAAATATATTTAATTGATAATGCAATTATTCTTTTAAGAAAAGCATTGAAATATAAATACATCTTTAAATACCTATTCAAATAATTTGATTCCCACAGTTTAACATCTTAGACCTAAACATAACCCAAAGTAAAAAAAAAAAAAAAAAAAAAAATGCTCAGATAGAGAGTGGAATCTGTAGGCCAAGGCGCTGTTTACAAACAAGCCCTAACGAGGTGTGGGCAGGCACGCAGGTCCACCCAAGGTGTGAGCACTGCGTGTGCGCAGGAACCAGATTCGCGTCAAGTGGAGCGTCTGTGCATGCGCCATGCCAAAAGCAGCGCCACCACAGCAGCGTCGCATCAGCGCCGCGTGCTGGTCTATATACAGGGTGCATTTTAGGCTTCACAGATTTTTTTTAAAAAGAAAGCTGCACTAATGTGGGCGGTTCAGTTGACTGATATGGCCAGAGGGACATAATATAGGGGAATAATCGTCAGGATAAGTCGGCTAATTCACAAAAATTTGTTAATTAATTGTCAATTATTGAAGATGGAAGTATGGTTCCAATCAGAAGCTTGCTGAGTGTCATTAGGGTGTCTACCGACCGGGATTTGTCAGGGAATTTTAAGACACCCTGAATAGTTGGGGAATTGTCAGGGAAATTTCCGAAAAGATTGCCTAAGTCAGGGAATTTATCCTAAGCTCGCCAGCTCCTGCTAGAAGCAGTAGGCATAGGCAGACGTAGCCACGAGTGCAGTCAAGTGCGGTGGCGCGACGTCTGCGCATTGTTAGAGTGGACTAGAAACGTCTGAGCAAGACGAGCCGCCGGGTCCGGTAAAAGCGCTGAATGCTGAGTGTTGAAGGTTGGTGTGGCAGCACTGCAATCGAGCTAGCTTGGGACGCGACACGGAGCGCGGCTGTTGCAAACGCTGACAAACGCCTCTACAAGCAGCTGCACACGCCGTGAGCCAGCCGCAGTGCGAACGCTGGAGGGTGCTGCTAACGCCTTGAACCAGGTGCGACTCTTGAAGGCACCCTAGGCGTGACGCGACCCGCCCATCAGCTTGGGCGAGTCGTGTCGCGCCTCTTTTTACACGTTGCACTTCACATGAGAACATGTGTGAAGCTGGCGGCGCCTCTTTCTTCTAGTACTCTCTAGAGCCACCTAGTAAGCTATGACTCTTGAGTAGCAACACTAAATTATGGCGGCTAAAGAGTTACTAGTGAAGCGGAGTAGCCGCGGCTATTTTGCTTGGTTCGTGATTCTAGTCGGGTGGTGTCGCTCTAGTACGCTCTGGCGTTATCATGACGCAGGAGAAACAGTTACTCTAACCAATACTAGGGGCGCGAGTCACCACTCACTCAGAACAGCCGTCGTTCATCTACCCTCTGAGAGGCGCGCTCCTAGCGATCCATTAGTTCATCAGATATGGTGTTTTCGTGCTTTTCATAAACGCAACTGGACGCCTGCGCTCTACGAGCTTTGCCACGTACGTTTGTGGCTTTGGCTTGGACTTTCTATTCTATTGTGTTATTTCCCTGAAGTGGAGATATGTGAAAGTGACTATGGTCACTATCGAAGAATTGCTCTTTCAACCTCGACTGGACAAACCCTGACATATCCACGAATGCAGGTTGGATTTGGCCCGTTCAAAATGATTCAAATAATGCTCACTGCACAATGTGCTGCAAGAAGCTCTCCCTGAGCAACATGGCGAAAAGGGCGATTACTAGTTATATTGAGGGTAAGAAACATCAAGCCGCTATAAAATCTCTGCAAAACGTTTTCCAGGCCCCAATCATATAATTTTTCAAGACTGCGACAAATATGGACTCTACTTCCGTGACAGCAATGGGCGTTTTCTCCGGAGGTAGCGCTAGTGCTTGTATTGCTCCGGCGATCAGCAAACCACCGTCACGAAAGCTCTTAGCCCCTCTGTGAAGACGTCAGTGGGAGGCTTTTTTATTGAAGAATGAAGTCACAAAGGCCAAGATCATGTAGTGCTTAAACACTATAATGACTCTTGGATCTTTCCGTTTAGCGGCAGCGTCTGCCTCGCCATTTCCGTAGATGCTCCCCACGTGCGAGACCACCAGAAAAATGCAGCTTGGAAAAGACAAAGTGAGATACACCTTATGTCGTGGTATCGGTCCATACTTTCAAGAGAAGGTGCTGGCAAGCCTCTCTCATTCCATATCTGGTGGTTACTTTTGATGAGTCATTGAACAAAGTAACCCAGAGAAAACAAAGGGATGTACTAATCAGGTACTGGGACCAAACTGATGCCACTGTAAAAACGTGCTACCTAACTTGGTGTTTTCTGGGGCACACCTGCGCAGCAGACGTCTTATCTGCTTGCAAGAAAGGCAAAGATACTACAAGTGTCAATGGATGGACCCAACGTAAATTTGAAGTTTCTGAGGTCGCTCAAAGAACTTGCAGCTTCCGACACCAATGACCAGATCCTGGACATTGGAAGCTGTGGACTCCACGTCGTCAGTGGTGCGTTCAAGATAGGTCACGCTGCGACGCACCGGGATCTGGTAGTGTTTCTTCATGAGAGCTATATATAACCTGTTCAAGTGCGTGTCAGCATGTCGTGCAGACTACGTCCACTTCATGGGAAGTGCTCTGTTTCCGTTAAAGTTTTGCTCAGTAAAGTGGCTTGAGAATAGCAAGGTGATCTCGAGAGCGCTTGAGGTTATTCCAAACTTGGTTAAGTTTGTAAAATGCTCAAAGGAAGAAAAAAAAAAAAAAAAGACAGCATGGGTGCTAGCTACAGCACTGTTCAAAAGGCAGTAGGTGGCCAGAAGCTGCCAGTGAAATTTGCCTTTATGCTCTCGATTTCTGAAGAACTCGAGAAACTTCTGGCTGAGTTCCACACAGACAAACCCATTGCTTCCCTTCCTTGCCCCTGCATTGGATTGCCTCTTACGGTCACTGCTGTTTAGAGTCGCCAAGAAAGATATCCTACAAGCTGCCAACACATCTTCCAAGCTGCTTTGGATCGACTTGGAGAAGCCCGACATTATTGCAGCTGCTGCGTTTGACATTGGGTTTGTCCAGAAACCATCGCAACTGACTGTGCTCAGCTTCAAAAAAAGACTGTTTCCTTCGTGAAGAGGTGTTCACAAAAAGTGATGGAAAGGTCACCTTTGAAATGCAAGTTGACAAGAGGTGCAAGCTGCTTGGATCCGGCTAGTGCGTTGTCTCCAGAGGTTGGTGAGAAACAGCTGTGCATTGCACTGGAGGTGCTAACAGAGCACCAATGGATGACTGGCTTGGAAGCGGAGCAGGCCCACCGTTCCTATATAGAGATATGCTCACCTAGCTCTGTTGAAGGATTTTGACAGGAAAGAGCAGAGGTTGGGCGCCCTCTCGTTTGAGCTATTTTCGTTTGTCGAGCTATTTCTCTGCTTGTTTCATGGCAATACAGCTGCAGAACGGGTATTCTCAGTGAACAAAGAGTGCCTCGTCGAAAACCTAAAGGAAGAGTCACTGATAGCACAAAGAGTCGTGTATGATGGAGTCTCCGCAATGGGAGCGGTGGCCAAAGGTGATCTTACGAACAGGATGGTGCAAATGGTTTATGGTGCCAATGCCCAATGGAAGGAGGAGCTACAAAGAAAGAGGCAAGAGAGTTTCGATGCATCAGAAGCCAAAAGAAAGAAGAGAGTGGCCACTCTAGTCAAGGAGCTTCAACAAAAGAAGCAAAGGGTCACAAAGGAATCACAGTTGCAGGCTTCTCGTTTTGACGAAGAAATTAACTCCCTGAAACAGTAAGCCCTGGTCAAGGGTGTATTCTAAACATCTTCAAGAGTGAGGTAGTTGCTTATCTTACTTAAAATATTTTACGTTGTAAATACTGTATCTATAATCTGCTGCATTTTGGTGTCAGTAGTTGTTCCCAGGTATGGGTCAGGGAATTTAAAAAAGTTAAAGAAAACACGAAAAAGTTAGAGAATTTGAAAAAAAAAAAAAAAAAAAAAGTGGTAGAAACCCTGGTTGTTTGAAACCACTAAATAAGTGAATTTTAGAAAGATTTGTGGCAAGTGGGAGGCACTGTGGTTTGCTAAAATTATCACTTGTACAACAGGCGCAAAACTAGGAGTGCAAAACGGGCCCAAGCTGTTTTTCTGTCTCTCAAGATTGGAGTTTTTGCACCGCCAAAAGTGCGCCCGTTGCACGAGTGCTAACTATAGCGCACCACCACGCTTCCCACTCATCCCAAGTCTTTCTAAAATTGACTTAATTAGAGGTTTTCAATGACGCTCAGCAAGCTTGATAGGAACTATATCTTTCTCTTCAATAATTCTATGCTTAATTTAAAAAGAAAAAAAATTTAATTGACTTATTGTGACGGTTATCTCCTTATATTATGTACCCCTTGACGTGTAACTCAACTGCAGAGACCACATTAATGAAGCTTTCACAACTTTTTTTTTTTTTTTTTAACATATTTTAAGTCTAAAGTGTTCAAAAAGGAAAAAGCAGCTTTCAATGAAATTTGTTTGGCGTTGGGACAGCATCAGAAAAAAACATTCCATTTCAGTATATAAGTTCAATGCATGTTCAATCACAAAGCTGTGTTTGGCATTGGGACAGCATCAGAAAAAAACATTCCATTTCAGTATATAAGTTCAATGCATGTTCAATCACAAAGCTGGATAAAATGTCTAGTACTACCTAAGGAGAGAAGCTGGTCTTGAACATTTCTCTGCTATATCTCTACCAATTTATGTTAGATTCTCACAACTACTGTATTCTGAGGTCTGACCACAATTATAAGCTTATGTTGTTTTTTATGTTTATCCTAGTTTTCAAGAAACCTTAAACTTTATCACAATGTTTCTGCCAAACTTTTTTTTATGACACGCCTAAAGTATGGAGTGTTGGTTTATTCTAGATAAAGATATAAACCGCAAAAAACCCCAAAAAAAACACATGACATTCTAATCATGATGGAATGGTGCCTGTGTATCACAGAATTGGGTGCTATCAGTTATACAATTCTACCTCACTGTCCATCAATGTCAAGGAAGCTTGACTCATGCAGGTTGGACCCTCTTCTTTTATTCTAAGCCTCTACTATCTCCCAAGCCTTTTGGATCCTATGTTTATACAACACAATGGCAATTTCTAGTAAAGGTGTGTATGGGCAGTCACGGCCGTGCAATGCCAAATGTGAGCATGCGGTTCCTGTTAACGAACTACAGTGCACCCGGAGGCGAATGTTGAGGCATCTCCCCGTTTGCCCGATGTACACCTTCCCGCACGAGAAGGGTATTTGGTATACAACTCTTTTTGCATGGTACAAACTCTATGTGGTGTTTGATGCCGCATCTGCTCTTCCTTTCTTTCCTTTGTGTTTGCGCGTTCTTCCACAGCGGAGCATATTCTGCTCAACTTGTTACGTGCCAGAAGCACTACATCTACCCTATATCTTGGGGCGGCTCTTTTAAAACCGTGCGACATGCAGTGACTACTGTCGCATACTTCTTTACTTTGTTTCGTAACTTGGCCCCGCAACTCCCCTTTAATACTTTTTGCTGTTGTTTACATGGCCGAGGTGATTATCGACTCTGGGTAACCTGCGTCTTTTAGTCTCCCGACCCGGGTGTAAAGGCTTCTTTCCACTCCGTGGAAGCGGTATTTGTTTACCGATGAATGGATACATGTTTCAGCAATGTCTTTTTTGACGAGCTTAAAGTGCCCCGATCTAAAATCGGGGAAGTTTGTTATATTTGAAGTTCTAGGGTGATGCCAGCAGCACACGTGGCTTTTGCTCACATCTACGCAGAGATCCAAAAACTGGATTGTCCGGTCCTTAGGGGTCTCAAAATGTGAACCGCAAGCCCTTGATTTCGTGCTCAACACGTTGAGCACAAAATCAAGGGTCCGACTTTTGTGCTGTTTCAAGATGAACCCATACCAACTGTCCCAGTTGTCCTGTCTCTTAAGCTTAGTAAAAGTAAACATATGTTTTTTGTTAGAACTTGCTCAGCATTGTCGAAAACCCCTAATGTAGTCAATTTTAAGAAGACTAAAGCACGTGTGAAGTTTGGGAGTGAGGAAAAATTTCCTCTTGTGCAAAAGGCGATGTGAAAACGCGTATGATATTCCTATCATCTGCGTTTTTGCAGTGCACATCTCGAAGGGGGTTTGTGTCTGTCTGTGTTCCAGAACTGGACGGAAGCAACGTGGCCTACTACACAAACCGGGCAGCATGTCTCATGATGCTGGGCCAGTACCAGACAGCACTGGAAGATTGTCGGCAGGCATCGCGGCTGGACCCCGGCAATGCCAAGGGCCACCTGCGGGAAGCCAAGTGCCACCTGGCGCTGGGGGACCCCACAGCGGCCATGCGCAGCGTGCAGCGCCTCAAGGAACTCGAGCCGGCCAACGTGGCACTGCCACGCGAGCTAAAGACCATCGAGATCCTGCAGCACTTCCTCACCGAAGGAGACAAGGCCTACGAGAACCAGGATTACGCCAAGGTGACTGACTACCTGCCCGGGGCTCCCGCCCAAAGCTCACAACACGAAGGAAATTGCGGGCACACCAAACCCGTCGCCTGTCTGTCCCGCTCTGTGTGACCACGGTCCATGCATATACACCAACACGCGGCCCTGACTTCACACCGCTGCAGTGGCACTGTTTCCGGCACGGCACGTGCACAGAAACTTAATTTCATGTGAATCTAGTTTCTGCACACACACAGTGCCCGCATCCAGTATGGCCTAATGCTGACTTGCTTGTGAACAGCGTGTCAGTGTACACTTATAGAAAATGCAACCATAAAATGCAAAAAGCTTTTTTTTTTTTTTTTTTTTTTTTTTTTTTTGCAGGTGCATGGTTTTTATTGGATGACTAGTTTAGAGGCAAACAAATTGTAGGGGGGGGCGCTGGGTTGTAGGGTTGTAGAGCGCCACGAACTGAGGAGATGAAGGTTAGGTCAAACGTCGCAATCATACGGAGTCATCCTGTTACTGAGCCAACAAACTTCCTTCAACTTTGGCTGCTTGTCTTTTGTTATCGTGAACTCAGCTCGCGGCACTGGGTTTCTGCCTTCTCAAATACCCGTGCCTCGGACTCTGACTCTAGCCTGGTAGACACAGATGAAAGTTGAACCAAAGTAAATGACTGCTATAGATATACGGAGACTTAATGCGAGCACTGCCAAAATATGATGCTAATGGGCGAATGCGATCCATTCTGAAACCAATATTAAACTTGCTACTGCCAGCTTCTCGGCAGGCATTTAGTGGGTTGGCTTTTTGTCAAGCAACCTTGTGCCCTGATGTCATCTTCATTTTCAGGCAGGTTTTTTGTTTGTACTGCTACTTCTTTCGTTGTGTTTTTCTACTGCGTTTTCGGCCATCCTAGCGAACGATTTCTGCTTGTTATTGTATGTTTTATCAGCCGTAGGTTATAAGTTCTCTTTGGTGATCGGGCAGAAAGATTATTGGCTCCCTGCTCGCTCAAACGCTTCGTGGTGTCAAAGCTGGCATTTACTGGTGGTCATAGTTTTGCCAGTTTGTGCTCAGTGCGAGCTTACAATAAGCTTCCCCAATGCTTTTGCAACATGCATTGCACACCACCAAGATTGTAGTTCTTCTCAAAAGATAAGAGATAAGTGGGGGCTCGTTCTCAGCCTGTGTTCATGAATGTGTACAGTAAACTCTCAATTGAGTGTACTTCAAGGGACCCAAGGAAGTAGTTAACTTAATTGAAAGTTCACTAATCTGAATATATCCACTAGAATATGAAACAGTATAGGGCACAGCATATATAGGGCCTAAAGTGTGAAATGCAATTTATGGAGTCGTGTACATTGATATATACAAAGTGCATAACAGTTATGTTGCTGCGTTTTTCATTTTGAAAAAAAAAAAAAAAAAAAAAAATTTCATTTGCACCTGCGCTCTTAAAGTGCATGAAGTAACAAAGCTGTCCAGAGAGTATGTTTTTTTGCACTTCCTCTGGCACATTGAGACTTCGTCCGTGTCGTTCTGTGTTTTGTCCCTTGTCCGTTCCCCAGTCTCAGGTTTACAACTATGCACAGCTTGTTGCTTTGACGAAGCCATACCGCATGGCATTGTCCACTGGTTTAAAATATCCCGTGCAGAGTCGTTTCCTGTTAGGATTAAGCGCAGTTTCTCCTTCAAGCGTTGACTTTTGCTTCACTATCGTTGACAACGTCGACGTTGAAATCTCAGTCCTTTGCAACGTCCACTTGCCTTTGACTGTTGTCCAGACGCTGAAGGATTTTGAGTTTGTCTGATAGAGACAACCACTTCCGTTTCGTCATACTCATTACGAAAGTGGGCGCACAAACTGCCTTCCTGCCGTTGTTACTCAAAACTAAGATGGCCGAAGGGAACGGATGACAAGGAAAAAACGACCACACTACGTGGTTCATTTTCGTCTACTGCACCGCCGCTTTGCCTCAGCAGCGCTGTAAACACCAGCGATGATACGCCGCCACTGTAGAGGCAGCGGCGTGGCGAACATTGGCTATGCCAGTGCTACAGAGCGCAAAACTTTGTTGAACTGATTGCAAAACTAATCCTGGGTCCACCGATCAAATTCGTTGAACTGAAATATTCGCTAATCCGAAATTCGTTAATTCATTTGACTGAAACATTTTTGCATAGAATGCGTAGAAAAACCGCCAGGGATTTTTTTTTTTTTCTAGCTTCCTTGTTCTTACATATTCGTTAAACCGACGTTCGCTCAAGTGAGAGTTTACTGTACTAACATTTGCTATACATGTTCGATATCTACGAAAGAAAACAGTAAAACAGCTGTAGCATCTTACCTGACTGATCGGAACTGCTCTTGCAACTAGGCCAGTCGTACGTTTTGCAGTACCGCCATACAAATGTTGCGTCACTCGTTGGCCATGCAGCTGATCACAAGGGTTGCCATCATGTTTCGGAATGTTTGTTATGGATATTCAGCCCCAAAAAACTGGATGGAGTATCTTTCTGGGGCAGGCGTTAATGTGGGATTTTACGGTGTGCTAAGAATTAAAAAGAAGCATTAAGTTGAGGTTGGATCTAATTTCACTATTTTCTTTTTGGTGGTACCTCAGTATGGACGTTTTTCGCTTCCTTTCGTTCTCAGTCGCATGGGTTCAATATCTGGTATGTGGTACGAAAAAAAAAAAATAATAATAAGGCATTTCAACCTGAAATATGCGAGAAAATATAGGTGAGGCAAACCAAAAATGTGTGAAAATCGCAGATTTTTTGTGAACACCTTCCAGCGGCGTGGAGAGATCAAAACAATGTTTTAACGCATACCAGAAGTGACAGCATTCAAGATGGCTGCACCCTTGTAGAAAAGGTGTATAACAGACGAGCCCTCCTCTTTCCAGGTGATCTACTGCATGGATCGTGCACTGCAGCAAGCCCCCGGCTGCACAAAAGTCAAGCTCCTGAAGGCAGAGTCTCTTGCACTCCTCAAGAAGATCCCAGAGGCACGCCTAATAGCAAAGTAGGTACCCTTCTTCTTCTGTAGCAGTTATCACCTCTATTGCCAAATTCCCAGTAAAATGAGCTGGACTCTAAAGCTACACAGCTGGAGAGTCAGTGAAGGCGTGAGCCGTTCATAGCAGCTGATTGCTTGGCACATCTGTTTGCAGCGAAATCATGTGCTCAGAACCAACGAATGCAGACGCAATGTATGTGCGAGGCCTCTGCTTCTACTATGAGGATAACATTGAGAAGGCCCTGCAACACTTTCAGCATGTGCTGAGACTGGCCCCCGATCACTCCAAAGCAGTATCGGCATACAGAGTAAGTCCCATGTTTTGTCGAAGCGAGAGGAAAAAAAATTGAACGTGCTTTTGTGTATAGCCTGCATTTACACAATCAGGCCATATTACGTAATCCAAAATAGTTGCTCTAATTTTGAAGACTTGCAAAGGGGCTGGGAAATGGGTGAATTAAATTGTGTATCACGAGTACTTGTAGATGGTTGAACATTTAACTACCGTATTTACCCGAGTAATAGCCGCACTGTTTATGAAGAAAACCTGAGGGTTGGCTTTTCCATGGAGCATGTGGCTCGCCAATCACCGCTATCGGCAGCATGATTCTAGCGGTTTACAGGACGGAGATAACGTCTTTGCGCGAAGATACCGTTTGTGAAGATTTCATTTGTATGCAGAATCATGCTGTCGATCTAGTTATTCGCTATGTTACTATGTGCTCTGCGGGAAAACAGATGCAAGGGCCTTGTTCATAAGTGGTGCGGCTATTACTCGAGTAAATACGGTAATTGTTATGGTGTACCATTTTTGATACTATGAGCAACTTCTATGGAGTAACAACTGACAAGTGTAAATTTAGCCTGCAGTAGTGGAAGCTTGGATTTTCGTGCTGATTCAGTTACTTCCCGAGGAGGTGATATAAGGGGGGTTGCTGATATGTCTTTTTCTTGAAGAGCATGACACTTGCAATGCTAACCACAACTGTGCTTTTGACTCCAGTATTGAGCTCATTGCATTCCGTTCTTGTGGTGACGTGTGGTGGCCCTCTGTTTGCAAATGTGTAGTATCATAATTTATGCCACTAATCACTCCGCATCATCCTCCTTCTTTCCATGCCATCGTCCCATGTCATGTGTGTACTCATAAAGATTCTGCTTCTAGCATTCCGTGGGGGAGCTTAGTACAAAGCATGGTACATTAATGCATAAAGGAATTTTGAAGCTCTGTGGTTGAAAGGGGTATTGAAACTAGATTTTAATGCCTGTTTTAGTGTCCAAATGTCAACTGTGTTGGGGCAACACCAAAAAGATGTCAAATTTTGTTTCAAAAAGACACCCAAACTTTGTTTAAAATAATAAAATGATAAACACATTGCTCCTAGTGCATGTTCCCAAAGTTGTTATGTCTGCCTTACCCAAAAAGCAGCGCCGCTCCGCGGAAGTATGGTGCTGAGCTGCGAGCATGCATAGGCTGTCAAACTTGGCCGCACCAGATTTCCTTTCTCTCCCACGTCTATTAAACTCATGCAGCTGGGGAATAGAAAGGGAGTGGAGGTGAGACGGTGAGACTACAGCCTAGTTGTAGCCTTGCCAGTGAAGGGAAACGCGACGTCACAAACGCGCTGGAGGCGCTTGATCTTCCGAGACTTGTCGCACTCTCCAATGGCTGCTTTTCAGTATCCCTTTAAAGCAGTAGATCTCAAACTTTTTGATCACAAGGAATGCATGTCTTCTTAATAATCAGTATTAACATAAACTTGGATCAGTAATAGATTAAAAAACACGAAAGAGTTAGACAAAAAGAAAATCTTCTGCAGCTCGTTACTTGTCGGCCTGACAATAAAGACCTCTATGTGTTGAAAGTCGAAAAATGTCTGTATTGTCCGTCCTTTTTGTCTAACTTTCATATTTTTGAGAGTGTTAACATGTTTGGTTATTTACATTTTTTTACCATGAATAGCTCCTTGAATAAGATGATAATTTAAGGCAGTATCCGAGTAAATCCACTATATGATAAAGAATTTATTGTTCCTTCCTTTGCAAAGTTACAGGCGACTAGTTTTTTTAATATTTTAACTTAGCAGATACTTTCTGATGATCCATGAAGAACTTTAAAATAGGCGTGACCACCATAAGGTATATACGAATACAACAGCACATGTCTAGATCTTGTGTACAGTGCAATCCACTTATAACGACAATGAAAAAGCCTGAAAATTCAATCGTTTAAAACAATCATTGTTATACAGTAAAACCTCGTTAATTTGGATCTCATGGGACCGGCAGAAATGTCAGAATTATCCGAAACTCGAAATATCGAAAGGACAAAGAAAACTGCGTGAAAATGTTTCCCTGTGACATACCTTTATTTTGAGAAGAAATATGTTATTACCGCCTGCTTTCTGGACGACACTTGGGCGGAGATAGCAACTCTTCTTAGCGCGGTCGAGTGCTCCACCGCACTCGCACTGTCAGAGCTACGCATCCCGTGCGCTGACAAGATCGCACAGCAAGCCCTCTTCTAGTTTCAGGTGCACTACCTTCTAAGGCCGCTTTCTTTTCGCATTGAACTTCTCGCTCTCGATATCGCCCTCAATTTTCACCTACGTGGCCAAACTGCTTCTCTTGACGTCGTAACTTTCCATCACTTGTCAAGAGACGCCGTCCTTCAAGGCCCTCAGTATTTCCACTTTGGTCGCTAAATTCTTAGCCTAGTACAGCTGCAACGGAAAACGAGTAGCACAACTGACCAATAATCGGAGCGGCGAAATAGCGACACTTGGTGCTATTTTTCCCGAGCGTGCCGATAGTGAGTGTGCCAGTCACGTTGCATTTTTCAACGCGGGGGTGGCTGGCGAAAAATTGAGGGATAAGATAGCTGTTAAAATGGCGGGCTTTAGGATCCCCACGTTGAGACATAAAACGTGACTCTATCGCTATCGGCACGATCGGGAACAATAGCCTTGCGTGTCGCGATTTTGCCATTCCGGTCGCCGGTCACTTGTGCTACCCTTTTTCCGTTGCAGCTATGCTTCTGTCGTTTCCATGCCAGGAGAGTAACGCGCTGCAGCACAGCAATACAGAGCAAAACTGGTGCGAAACACGGAGAACCAGAAGAGCAAAGAACCATGGGAAAACTGGAAAAACAATGTGTGCACCTTGGATAGATAGCGGTCATACCCTTAGGAACGGACAGTAGCTAGCGCCACCTGCCGAATTCGTCCGAATTAACCATACTGCGCCGCATTCCCTCCAAATTAATGAGCGTTTGCTGCCATTGACTAATACATACGTTTGCAAATTAATGAGCGTTTGCTGCCATTGACTAATACATACGTTTGACGGGACCGGATCGGCAGTTCACAAATTATCCGAATATCCAAATTAGCGGGGGGTGAATTAACGAGGTTTTACTGTATCTGAACTAGAAACTGATAGTTTGATCTAGAAACTGATGGTTATAAGCGGTACATCGTTATATGTGGTATCGCTATAAGTGGATTGCACTGTATATCCAATGATGATGCGAGTTTACAATAGCTCAGTTCTAATTTCAGATTTCTTTGATGAGGCGAAATGGGACGGAAGCATTAAAGATCGTGCAAATGTGAAGTAATTAATAATATAAGTAACACCTTGCAATCGGCTTTGTAGATTTGTTTCTTATGCCGCTCCTATCCGCTCGTCGGTCGAATCCTTTTCTACTGCGTGCACACAATCTTTCATGAAACGCGAAGCTTCTCTTGAAAATTTGGAGAGTAATGTTGCGGCAACATTCCTCCGTGCAAATTCAGTGCAAACTAAGCACTGATCAAGGTACAAACGACCACTGCGTGTAAAATTCCAATCGGCTGTTGCAATCTTTTTTTCCTCCACTTCCTAACCAGATCGAACATGTTTGTGCTCCCTTCATCTCACCACCCGGAAAACCCACAACATGAATATCTATAAATCAACTGATGCCAAGTGTCCCTGATCCCGGTCTTTCAATTTCAAGAAAACATAGAAATAAGCAGAATGACACAGACGTTTCGAGCGAATACTCTTTCTCAAGTGACTGGGCTTGAGATGGGACAACAAGTGGGTGACGGGAGGCAAGGCCGGTATTCGGGTTGCAAAAAAAGGGAAGGGAGAGAAAATATGTCTAAAGTCGAGACCCCGCAAGAGTGCATCTAGGATTTGAACAATGGAAATTGGAGGGGAATGAAACATATGCTTGGCGGCAAGAAGACGAGGTTCGGAAAATCGGTTGTGCCGTAAGCCTGCTGGCATTTGGGGCGTCAATCGCCAAAAACAGACTTCTGCAAAAATCACTTTCTCCCTCCGCCATACCAAGAAAAGAAAAACGCTTTAGAGATGCCGCGCTTTGTTACAACTGCGTGCGGTGTGGACGATGTACCATACACGGCAGGTAGGGACAGAAACGTCCCCATCGTCCCACTTGGCTGGACCAGCTTGGCCAAGCATGGTCCCCCAAAATTTAGTTTATTTTTATTTTTTTCCCCATGTTCCAGACGGTTTCTGCAGCAATTTTTGCTATGCCCTTCTCGTATCAGGACTTGGGACTCTCACAAGTTGAGAGACGATTTGGTGGTTTAAAACAACTTTAAAAGAAATAGGAACCCCGTTACAGTTCCAAGTTATTGTCACTAAGCAGTAACGAGTTACTGAAAAAAGTAACTAGTTACCGGTAACGTGTTAATATAACTAGTTACTGCCCAAGACTGCTTGTAGACTAATGTATAGACTAGGAGCGTTTGGCACATGGTTATGGTCAGTGAATGGCTCCTATCTGCTAAAATGCTTAAACTGAAATAGCACTTCACTTGAAAGCAGGGATGGTTTATGAAATTTGGGAGCTTGGGGAACATTTGGCTTCTTAAGATCCCAGTTCAGAACCCATGGTTTAAAGGATATGAAGGCAGTACATGCAAGTTTAAAGGCCGATGAGCAACCAGAAAGGTTGGAACTGTCCCTCAATTACTCCTTCCTCTTTGGGAAGAGCAGTGTGAGAGGGAATGGCGAAAAGGAAACTGGGGACCGGTTCTCTTCCCATTCAGATGATGATTCTGTAGGTTGTCTTTTTGGAGACAATTGGAAAAAATATTTGATCTCTGGACAGCCGAGTAGAGTTGTTTAGGGCTTGACAGTATTACTGATTTCACGCTATGTTTGAGGTTTACTTACTTGCTGCATCATGAAAGATGTGATAGGAATGAAACTTGGCAGTACTCTGATCACAAAATGCCTTCTCGTTCCTCAGAAAGCCCGCATGCTCAAGGCCAAGAAAGATGAGGGCAATGAAGCCTTCAATGCTGGCAACTACCAAGAGGCTTACAACATCTACACCAGTGCTCTTGGCGTAGACCCTGGCAACCGGTTGGCCAACTCTAAGCTCTATTTCAACCGGGCAACAGTTTGCTCAAAGGTGCTTCTTTCGTTCCTTTGCTGTTTGCTGGTTTCCCTATTTCAGCATATTCTAAATTTTCATGCTCCTGCTTACCTGGATGGGGAATAAACTGACCTATTTCCACTTTTTTATGGCTAAAAGTCTTGAGTGGATTTTGTAAGAAATAATTAAGGATGTCAAATTCTACACTTGGGAATGGCTTGAAACCTTATTACTGCTGAGTTTTAGTTTACTCATAAAAAATGGAGCACAATATGCTTGCTGAACACAGTTTTTCATTTATTTCTATGTTCAAAATGTATACAGTTGTTCATATCCTACTTTTTGTCTCACCAGATCAACCAGCTCAACCAAGCAGTTGAAGACTGCACTACCGCCATCAGCTTGAACGAAAATTACATGAAGGCTCACCTACGACGAGCGAAAAGGTATGCATGAGGATCGCTAATGCTCGATTGATTCTAATTCTGTCACTTGCCTCCCCACCCGAGTTTAGAGCAAGTTGTTAAAATGAAATTTTCCCCGCAGTGTAGATCATTTTGTACTCCGTTTTATTATAACTTGGCGAACTGTGGAGGCTACGGCCCCGCGACCCAATAAGAGCGTCGGGGCGAGGCATGTGACCTCACGTCACAGGAGCGTTTGTGTCACTGCGCTAAATGCAAAGCCCAGAGGATCTGGCTGTCGTCCGCTGGCGAAGAGACGTCTGTTGAGAAACCAACCAACTTCGGATGAACATCCGTTGCCGCAACTCTGCCGTGCACTAGAGTAGCGAGCTCTTTGGGGACAGTTCATGAGACAGCCATACGCTCAATGTACACGCAAATCTGTGGCGGTAGCTAATGCCAGGACAATGTTTTGAGTGGAAGCGGTCGATTACAGGGCTGCAATCATTCAAACATTGTTCAAAAGCCGCCTTGTTCTCCGAAAGAGCTTGATCCAAATTCAGTATTATTGAAAAGTAACATGTCTCCATCTTTCTTTCGTGTCATGTAGCGTAGTGTCGCTAGAGATGCAATCGCGCTAGTTGAATTGCCATTGAAAGAAAAAGCCTTGACCTACTTTTTGTCGCAAACAACGCTGTTGTTGTGGTGGTAACAAGGCCTTCGTGGCCTTGACCATGGACTGTTCTCATATGCCTTGCTCCGATGCCCTTATTGGGTCGCGGGGGCCGCTGCTTCCACAGTTTGCCCAGTTATCGTGAAACGAAATATAAGAGGGAACACTACCTGGAAAGGTATACTTTTTAACTACTTCATCAATCTGAAAGAAATTTGTGGGGCTACTTCATCAATCGCATATGCCAACATAGAGCGAAAATTGTCTGCTTAGAATTCTATTGTTTTGAAATGGTGCAGGTCATCGTTCGCAATTGTTTTTTTTGGTGGAATGCACACTAGAATACCTGTAGCCTAACCTGATCAAGGCACTGGCCAATCATGGCCTCACGTAAACGCACACGACGCCATGATTAATCTGTGCCTGGACGGGATCGGTCATCTTTTTGGCGCATTGCACAACCTGTCGGGTGCTTGGTCCCGCATATGTATGCCCTGATCTGGCCCTCGGCTGTTATCACCTGTTCAGAGTCGTGAAAAAATCCTTGCGAGGATGCTATTTTACGGTCACTGAGCTGGAAGCAGCTGTCTGGGCGTGGGTGTGATGCACTTCCAAAATGTGGTTCCGGCAGGGCATGGAAAGGCTGCCACACCGGTGGGGTGGTGCAAGTGCGTTCGGCTCCAGGGGGGGAATATGTCGAGAGAGTGGACATATCTACCGACCTCTAAGTGGCCGGTATCTGCAGCAAAAAAATTAAGTGTAAACCAATCTGGTACACCCGTCGTATGTCATGTAAGTAACCACCGGCTCTAGTGAGTACTATTGGCAAAATGCCCAAAGCATGAGAATGCGGGAAAATATTTGAAAATATTTAGGTTTTCTTAGATATCATATTTCTTGTTACTAGGGGAGGTATTCGTCCAGTAAAGTGGGGCATCTGAAATGTTACGCGCCACATATAAAGTCATGCGCCACGAAAGCACACCTGTGCAAACCCTATCACAATCTGAACTGAATGGAGTCAGATGCACTAAGGCAATATAGCGCAAAAGTAATTCCATGTTTGCACCAGCGGTTCTCAAACTTTTGGCCGTCACGGACCCCCTGACCCCCTCGGAGGCTGTTTGGAGACCCCAAGTACATTCCGCTTCAGGGGCCTCTTGTGATAGCATAGAAAAACTGTTTTATTTAACTTTTTTTTTTTTTTTTTTTTTGGCGCAAACCTTTATGAACGCTTTTGAGGACCCCAGGGGTCTGCGGACCACAGTTTGAGAACCGCTGTTTCATGGTATAGGTAAGCTTTTGCCACCCTCTGGGCTAGTACCTCTCATTTTTGTTTGCAAAGACATTTGTTTAATTTGTACATTTGTGTTGTGTTCTTATAGCTACATGGACTTGGAAATGTATGAAGAGGCTGTTCGGGATTACGAGCGCATCTGGCGGAAAGATCGCACTAGAGGTATGCCTAAGAGTGCAAAACATGTCATAAATACAACGGCATGCAAGTAAACCTTTTGAATCCTTTGTCACCCATGTGTATGTAGAGGTGTCTGTCTGTCTTCCTCTTCTCTGGCTGTGTCCATTGCATCTAGTGTGGGATGGACTGCTGACATTGTACAAATGTTTTGTGAATTAGTCTCCAGAACATTGATAGTCTGTCGCTGATGGAGTGCAATGTAGCATTGCACCGTAATAGCTATGTTTGAGACCTTATGTCATAAAAACTTGGGTGGAGGTGCTACATGTGGAAGGAAATTCCAGTAGCATCAGCAACACACTAAATTGCTTCTCAGTGTATTGCTAAAAAATCTAATACAGTACACATTTTTCTTTGCTGTAGCTGAAGTGTCTGAGTGTCTTCAGTGTCTAAAAAACATTTTGTAAAAAAAAATAATTTATTTTTTTGATAGCATCAGCCTTCCTAATCTTCGTAATTTTAACTAATGTTTTTTTCATGAAAGCGTCCGAACCTCTGCCTGTTTGTTTACACTGCAGTACTGAAAATAATTGATAACTATGTAGCGAAAATGAATGACGTTCTGAAAATACTCTTTAGGTGTTCTTATATTGAGGTCCAGAGAAAGGGGAAATACTCGAAGACATGTGGGCCTCCTCTGTGGGGAAAGTTGCTAAATGTTGTTACACCTAAAAATAACCTTTCGAAATCAACTAAAAAAAAATTAGGTTATGCTTTTTTAGGTTTAAAATGAAATTCTTCTTACTGTAAATTCCTTTCACTGCGATTATGGTGATTTATGATAAGATAGTTCAGTCCAAGCTGATCTATAATAGCTAGTCGGACATAACCCTGAACCCCATGTCCCCCATGTTCCTACTGCCGCCTGGACTCGGCTACTATACTTCGTTTCAGCTTCCGTCCGAACGCAGCCAAAGCTACGTGTGGCCGGAGCCAATCACACACTGGCAATAGGTCATGCAATCTCGCCTGCACTTTTGTATCACTCCGCTGCGCCGCTGGTCGCCCGCGCTCGCCGAGTATCTCGTCTGCTACGGGTTTATCAACTGTATTGTCTGCTACAGGTTTAAAAAGTGCCCTTTCACGTTCTTAAATTTAGTCACAGGGGATGTCAGTACGTAGGCTGGCCGCTGGCATCTGCGTCCGAGCTTTCCTACCTGTTCGGCATTTGGGCATAGTTTCGAGATGTAAATAAACGTTGCAAGGTGCCCGATGACCCGGCTGTTGATGCTTCCTTGTATTGTCTGGATAAACCAGGGCTCGAGGCATAGTCCTTTCAACCAGCTTCTCGGCGTTTAATATGCGGCAGGTAAAGGGGTGCCCCGATTTCGCCGCGTATCAGTGAATTGTAGTGGGCCAGACACTTTCTTGTTTGCTACGGATTCGCGGTACAACGTGGCCGGAGTCTCCTGCTGAATTTGAAAGTAGACATTCATCATGACCTCTCGCACCTGACGCCCAAACGTGCCTTTAAAAAAGCACGTTTTGAAGCGACTCGGTGAGGAAAGCAGCGGAGCACATGATTCGACCATTACGGGAACGAAATCACGCAGAAAAACCGAGCGTTGCGGCCGTGTTGCCAGCGGATGTACGTGTTTTCACCAAACCACATGCATTTACATTTATTAATAAAAACATAAACTTCAGATATTTAATTCCTTTAGTTACAAATCATTCTCAAAAGTACACATCTGGAATATTGTACAATGTTTACACACAAAACAGTTATTTTAGAAAAACAAAAACTTTTGTGGACTATTTTGTGGTGCGTAGGAATGCTCGTCTCTCAGTTGCGAACCATCCCTCAGCCTTTGGCTGCGCTCGGACGGAAGCTGAAACAATGTATAGCTGGAGTAACTGGAGTATGGTTGTAAACACTGCCAAATAGTGTCGAAAGGTACTCGCTACCTGTTACATATGAATTGTTAGAAAATATTAATGCATCTGGTGTGGTCGTCCCTTCTAGAAAACAAGAGGCTGTTGGACCAGGCGAAATTGGAACTCAAAAAGAGCAAGCGCAAGGATTACTACAAAGTGTTGGGGATTCCCAAAGATGCCACAGTTGACGATATTAAGAAAGCTTACCGAAAGCGTGCACTCCTACATCATCCTGGTAAGTGTCACTATCTCCTGTGTAAATCAGTAATGACAAGTTCTTGTTAGTGTGCATGTCACCTTTTTCCTCGGATTTTGAGCTTTGCAGTGAACCAGATGTAACTGTTTGTAAAAACTGACTTGGCTGTGTGACTTCTGCATCCACTTTTTTGTTGCCTTTGAATGCAGACTTTTTAAGGAAATATGCTAGAAGCCTTTAGTTACCTTAAAATTTAAGAACATATAATAGATTGGTGTTGTAACAGAAGTAATAAGCTAAAGAATTGGCAGAAATTATTTGGATATTTCACTGGCCTGATCGGAAGACAATCTCCCACCCTTCTAGATCGTCACTCCAGTGCTCCTGAAGACATCAAACGGGAGCAAGAAAAGAAATTCAAAGAGCTTGGAGAAGCCTACAATATTCTCTCGGACCCAAAGAAGCGTGTTCGCTACGACGAAGGCAGGGACCTAGACGACATGGATGGCCTTTCTTCTGGTGAGTTTAGAATGCTTGCATAATGATAGTAGCATTATTTTAACACAGGCATACTTGGGTATTCATTCAGTTAGTCATTTAATTAGTTTTTGAGTAATTAGTTATAATTAATTACTTTCAACCTAAAGTAGGTTGAAACTATGTACTTTTGTTGGCTAGTAATTCTAATTGTAATTAACGACTTTAAAAAAAGTAGTTGTAATTAATTAAATTACATTTCCGAAGCAATTTACCCTAGTATGACATTAGGGTAGCTTTTATTCAATAAGAAAGCGAAAACCGGATGTTGGGAGTGTCCAGAATGTTTGGCCCACATTTAGTGGAGGGTAGTGTCAGCTTTCAGCATCTAGCTTTTAACTCCTGTGACTTGTAAAGAGAATCTCATAATGGCGTCATTTTATTTTATTTTCAGAAACAAACCCCCACATGTTCCAGACATTCTTTGAGAGTGCCCCTGGATTTTTCTCCACGAGTGGTGGCTCATTCCAGCATGGCCAAGGGTTTGGCTTTCCAGGAGGCTTCAGCTTTCAGTTTGGATAAAGGCAACAGAACCAAGAAACTGTGTTTTTCTGTTATATTTTTCCCTCGAGGATACTGTCTGTCTTCATCTTTCGAGCCTGCCCACCTCTCCCCAGTCATGTGTCTGTGGTATGGCAAGTTGTAAAATTGAATTGGAGTTGTAACTTTTTGTGAGAGAACTCATCCAAATCATGAAAGTAAGTGCCCTTGCATGCCAAGCCGATTCCAAGAAAGTGTATTCAGATTTGCTGGAATTGTTTTGCATCTTGCTGTGTCAATGTGTTCTCATGATGTTCATAGATATCATACATGTTAATTAAAATGCAGCCAGTGTGAAATAAATGATTGTTTTCTTTGGAATTGCAAGATGTGTGTTGAACTCGTAACATTGCAGTCTAGCGTGAAGACTGCTCCACATCAACAATTTCACCTTCACAGTAGACTCCTAGTGATTCTTCCAATACCTGAAGAGGGTTCCTGAAAATGTTCCATGTGTTTTGTATGGCATGAATCTTCCATGCACAGGGTGTCTTCTCATAGACTAAAGCTCCTAAAACATAAAGCTCCTTAAATAAAAAAAACCATTGGTCCCTCAGGATTGACTTTTTACTGGTGGTGGATATTTAAATCTATACTCCAAGTCACTATACTCGTTTTCACCTCAAGAACCACAGTAAAAAAAGTCTGGCTCCTCGCGGAGTATTACTAATTTCCCCCTTTATGTAGAGAATTGAGCTATCTGTAGGTGCATTTTAGACTGCATATATGTTATCTTACCAAGACATACACGTTTCGAACGCCAAAAGTATCGCTTCTTCCTCCGACAGCTAAATCTTGTAAGAGCTACTTTGCACTGCGTATGAATAATGCGCAAAACTGACTTTATTCTTGAGGTGAAAACAAATATAGCTGTGTGCAGTGGAGGCTGACTGCAACGCCAGGCAAAGAGAAAGGGCGAGCACTAGGAAGGGACGACTGGAGAGGAGGGCAATAGAGGTTGAGGCAACACCTAGAAGAGAAGGCCAGAGTGGTCTTCTCGTGCCACGGGGGGCACGCGTCAAAGCGAAGGCAGCGCGCGCAGATCGACCGTCCTAACGCGCTTTTAGTCTCGTACGCCTGTTTTGTTAGCTAAAGTGAAAGCTGCACATAGCAACGGGTCTAGAAAACACTATTACACGGGCAAAACATAACACCACTGAATAATCGGTACGAAATGGCACGAGGTATGCGTATAAGAAGTTTATAGAAAAATGTGACCAAGAAAGCCCGTAGTTAAGTCGAAAACATTGAGTCATGCAATTATTGCTGTAGGAATGCATATTTTATACAAAAATACTTCAACAAAATGGCGAGACACTCGGTGATTGGACACAGCAAAACAAATCTGTTAAAAATCAGGTAGACGTATTCAACGCGGACACAGCTAGACAAGTGTCGCTTACGATCATGTAAGCGATGTTATCGCGTGCTGTCACTGGATTCTTGCAATATACCCTGGTCACAAAGCAAAATTTCGATCGAATATATGGGGTCGACAAATCGGCTTGCGACGCTCGTATAATCGCTCGGACCGCGAGCTGATTAAATCCAATATCATTTAATGAAAATATATTAACTTTTCCGTGTGGCAGGGGTACTAAGCTTACTATTTACAGTCAACTAATTTACTTCTCCCTATGGGCTCAAGCTGCCATAACTTATTTTGTATACAATAACACTATTATTACCTTAATACAGTTAAGATTCTATACCTGTTTTCACCACAAGAACCGAAGTAAAACATATCCGGCTTCTCGCAAAGCATTACTAATTTCCCCCTTTATGTGGATAATTAAGACATGTAGGTGAATTTTAGATTAGATTTGTGTTATCTTGTCAAGACATACATGTTCCAAACACCAAAAGCATCGCTTTTTCCTTTGACAACCGAATCTCGTAAGAACTACTTCGCGCCACGTAGAAACAATGCGCAAAACTTGCTTTTTTCTTTAGGTGAAAATGGGTAGTATAAACATGGTAAAGGCAATAAAATAACTTTAGTATAAATAAACACGTAAGCACAAACAACCCACTTTCAATAATCACGAAAACTTATTATTCACGTTCCAGTAAAAACTAGATTACCACGCATATTTACAAATAGCGACGCAAGTGAACATGGATAACGACGGACAAAAATCCATTCTATCACAAGATTAAAAAAAACAACTGCAGCATTTTACTTGCGTCCTACATGACCAGGACCGCCCGTAAATAAGTTGTTTCTCACCTGTCCATTCGCCAACAAGATGCATCGTGTGAATAGATCCTTAGGAAAATTCGGGGTACTTGCCACTCCTTCAGCATCCCCCTTTTCCCTTCATCATCGCCATCACTAAAAGACCAGGCTGACACTCTTGCTGATCATTTTTGAGAGGTCTCCAGTTCCTCAAATTACACTACTGAATTTAAAAACTTTAGATTCTTGGCAGAAAAACAGCCAATTGATTTCTCTGGAAGTGATACTGGTTACAATCGGCCGTTCACAATGTGTGAGCTTGAAATGGCTCTTGCAGTAGGGAAGCAGTCAGCACCTAGCTGGTCCAGATATGATTCATTATGAACTGCTCAAGCACTTGTCAGCTGAATCCTTGGTGCATTTGTTGTCTTTCTTTAATCATTTATCTTGTTTACCACAGTGCTGAAAGCGAGTACATATCATTCCCATCTTGAAGCCTGGCAAAGACCCCACCCTACCAGCAAGTTATCGGCCTATAGCACTGACTAGTTATCTAGGAAAAAGTTATGAAAGGCTTGTAAACAAAAAGCTAGTATACATTCTAGAGCAAAAGAAAATTTTCAATAAAAACCAGTGTGATTTTAGAAGAGGTCGCTCAACCTTAGATCACCTTGTCCGGTTGGAGAGTTTCGTGCGTGAGTCTTTTGTGAACCGCCGTCTTTTTCTGTTTTTTTTTATTTAGAGAAGGCTTGGATACGGCATGGCGGTACGGAATACTTCAGGACCTGTAGAGGTGCGGTGTTCGTGGTCGCATGCTGCATTGCATGAGGGACTTCTTGACAGACCGTTGTTTTCAGGTCCGCCTGGGATCCACACTCTTGGATGTTTTTACACAGGAAAACGGCATCCCACAGAGAGGTGTTTTGAGTGTTACTTTGTTTGCAACTAAGATCAACAGCCTCGCTGCAGTGATACCACCATCAGTTTTTTATTCATTGTATGTAGATGATGCCCAGATCGCTTTCTCCTCACGCAACTTGTAAATTTTGAGCACCAATTGCAGGTAGCAATAAATAGGATGAGTGGGCCAATGAAAATGCTTTCCGGTTTGCACCAGAAAAAATGGTGTGTGTGCCTTTTTCATTACGTCAGAATTTGTTGCTATATCCCAGCTTGCAGATGAATGACACTGACATAACTGCTAGGCATGAACACAAGTTCTTGGGTGTTATTTTTGATAAGAAGCTCACTCTTCAGACCCATCTAAAGGAACTGAAGCGAAAGTGTCTTAAATCAGCCAATGTTCTCAAGGTACTTGCACACATGTCCTGGGGTTCTGACAGGAGGTGCCTCCTGCGACTCTACAACTCGCTGGTTCGTTCCCGTTCCGACTATGGTGTGGTTGTATATGGCTCGGCACGAGCGTCATCTTTAAAAATGCTAGATCCTGTCCATCACCTTGGACTTCGACTTGCCACGGTGGCCTTCCGAACGTCATCTGTCCCGAGTTTGTATGCAGAGACGTACCAAATGCAACTAGAAAAACAAGGACAGTACCTCAGCCTATGCTATAGGTAGTTATAAAGTCAAATCTGACGCTGAACACCCATCCTTCCGCTGTTTGCAGGCATCTCCTTTTTTACGTGTTTTTCAGAACAAGCCAAGTATAGTACGGCCTTTAAGCCTTCGCATTTAAAGGATGTCTACATCCCTGCAGCTTGCACTTCCCGAGTGAGCTTGATAACAAGAGTTCAAGGCATTGCTCCTTGGAAGGCGGTGCACTATACCTGTGACTGGTCGCTGGCGAAATACAATAAACTATCTGTTGCACCAATAGTTCTTCAGCAAGAGTTTATGACCTTGCACGCTAAGTATGAGAACTGTGCACAATTCTTCACTGATGGTGCAAAAACTCCACACTTTGTAGGTTCGGCTGTATTTTCAGAACACTTTGTGAAAGCTCGACGGCTTGACTCTGTCGCCAGCATTTTTACAGCAGAGCTTTATGGTGTGCTCATGGTTACTGAATATATATTAGGCAACAATATCAGGAAAGCTATTTTGTTTGTGGACTCCCAGAGTGCTCTTTTCTCTCTGTTCCCTCAATGATTCAAAGAATCGGCTTGTGCAACAAGTATGTGTAGAGTTAAACCTGACCTCCCAAATGGGATGCATGCATTATCAAGCTGTGCTGGGTACCAAGCCATGTGGGAATTTCAGGTAATGAAAAGGCGGATAGGCTAGCAGCCTCTGTCAAGGATGCTCTGGAAACGCCCGTTGGGCTACCTCAAGAAGATTTTATACCAGTTCTCAAAAAAGAAATTTATAACACTTGGCAGCTAGATTAGGACAAAGAACTAGATAATAAGCTGCATGTTGTCAAACCACGTTTGGGGGTATGGGAGGGTTTGCACCATAGAGACCGTCGCCATGAAGTTTTAATGTGTTGTTTGAGAATATGGCATTCACGTGTGACCCATCGACATCTCTGTGGGAAGGACACGCTATTCTGCGAGCACTGTGGTGAATTGCTAACTATATTGCACATTCTATGGCACTGCAAATTCTTTGATCAAGAACGTCGAACAAGTTTCCCTTCACTTTCCGGATATCTTCCATTTCATCCAGCCTTCTTGCTGGGAGATGAACCTTTAGTCCCATTTCATCACATTTTAGATTTTCTTAAAAAATGGGCTACCTGAACCAGTTATAAATCCTGCATAGTAATTCCTTTCTTTTACTATTGACTCTTTTAACCGTTTCTTTGGCGCAGCATGGCCTATGTTGCTTTTTGTGCGATTAAACACTTAATAATCAATTGCTCTTCCCCAGCCTTCCTAGTGCTTGCCCTTTCTCCCCTTGCCTGGCTTTGCATTCACCTTTACTCCATGCAGCTAGTAACGCAGAGTATAGAGTGTAAGTGTTTGAGAACATTTAATTATCTCAGTTACTCAACTCCTTTAATAATAGTTCTGGGTTGCATATTTAGATCTGATTTGGGCAGGGGCGGGCAGGCAGGGGGTGGCGGGCAGTGAGGGCAATCGCCCCTCCAGACATTTCTAGCAAACAATATGAGGGAAAGGAAACCAAGCCCCCTCTTCGTTGACCACACCTGTCCAATGTTTCGGACGCCGCTGGCTGTGTCCTT